TATGCCACAGGGATGCTGGCAAGCCCCAGGGTGTGTTTTTGGGGTCCCAATGCGGCGTGAGGACCTGCTGCTAGGCCTTACCCCAGGGCACCCCCGGCAGAGCAGGCACCCAGGGGAGGGTCCTGCTGCTCAGCACCCTCCAGGAGCCCACGGCACAGCCACAAGGCACCCCACAAAGATGCTCCATCCACCTCTCCATGCTTGCTGCCCACACAGATCCCATCTCCAGCAGGACCACCCTCCCCCAGGACCACCATAGCTTGGCCTCCTGGGCATCTCCTTTCACATCCCCTCCCCAAGCTGCCATAAAGCCACTTACAAACCAGGTGGGGACAAACAAATAGCCCATCCAGGTGACACTTGCCTCATCGGTCCCAGGAGCTGAGCCCACGTCCTGTCCCAGCAGCAGTGGGGTTAAGCCTGGCCGGGCGGGCGGCTGGACAGGCGTCAAGGTGGTTGCTCCATCCATCCCTGCGCAGTCTGACGGGGCCGGAGAGCAGAGAGGGAGCACGGCCCTGCCTGCCACCATGACCACAGGCAAAGGTAACGCAGGGGGACCTAGAGGGACGGGCAGGGCTGGGGGCTCAGAGGGGAGACTAAAACTCCAGCAGGGCTTTGCACTCGAGTCACCCTTAGCTTTTCTCCCCTCCACTACTAATAAGACATTTTGGGAGCCTCTGTGTTTGGAGGCACCCTTGGACAGAAACCCAAACCTAGCCAGGGACTGCAGGGATGGGCAGAGGCCACAGCACTGAGACCCCTCGCTCCAAGAAAGAGCAAAGTAATGGGGGGGGCAGCTGGGGAGGAAGGAGAAGAGAGGACTGGGGACCTTACCTCATGGAAGGGAGAAGCTGCTGCTGCTGTGGAAAAAGATGAATATTAGCACGGCGGGGAATATGTAGCCAAGGGGTCTGAGCTGTGGCAGGAGCAGGGGGCGACTCCAGACTCTCTCCTGAGGGCAGATCCAGCCTCTGTGTGTGTGAGGGGTACTCCACCCACCCCTACCGGCAGCACAGGCACGAGGGAGCTCCTGGGGCCTGAGGGTCCCTAGAGCAGCCACAGCCCCACACTGACCACATCTCCCTGTTCCTCTGCACCCCACAGTGGGCATCACCCTCCTGCTCACTCTGGCCCTGCTGTTGGCCACTGCTTCCCAGCCCCCCGGGGGGGACAACCCAAAGGACCAGGGGGATGTGGACTCCCACCGCTGCCCCAGCCCTTGCGCCTGCAGCTTGGATGACTACAGTGAGGAGCTCAACGTCTTCTGCAGCAGCCGCAACTTGACGCACCTGCCTGAGGACGTGCCCCCCAACGCCAAAGCCCTCTGGCTGGATGGCAATAACTTCACCCTCTTGCCGGCTGCTGCCTTCAGGAACCTCTCAGCCCTGGACTTCATGGACCTGCAGAGCAGCCAGTTGACCGTTGTGGAGCAGCACGCCTTCCATGGGCTGCGGAGCCTCTACCACCTCCACCTTGAACGCAACCGCCTCAAGCACTTGGCCCCTCACACTTTCCTGCACACCCAGAACCTCGTCTCCCTCAGCCTCAACAACAACTACTTCAGTAAGGTGGAAGAAGGACTATTCGCTGGGCTCTCCAACCTCTGGTATCTGAACCTGGGCTGGAACTCGCTCGTGATCCTGCCCGACAAGGTCTTTCATGACTTGCCCAACCTGAGGGAGCTGATCCTGGCCGGGAATAAGCTCCCCTATCTCCAGCACCAGCTCTTCTGCAGCCTTACTGAGCTGAAGGAGCTGGACCTGAGCGGGAATGCGCTCAAGGGTATCAAGATCAACATCTTCGTCAAGCTGCAGAAGCTACAGAAGCTGTACCTGAACCACAACCAGATCAACGCCATTGCACCCCGTGCCTTCATGGGCATGAAGTCCCTGCGGTGGCTAGACCTCTCTCACAACCGGCTCGTCTCACTGTTCGAGGACACATTTCTAGGCCTCCTGAGCTTGCATGTCCTACGCTTGTCCACCAACTCCATCACTAGCCTGAGACCCAGGACTTTCAAAGACCTTCAGTTCCTGGAGGAGCTGCAGCTGGGGCACAACAGGATCCGCAACTTGGCAGAACGGACCTTCGATGGGCTGGGCCAGCTGGAGGACCTCAGCCTCAACAACAACCTTTTTTTGCATTCCTGGGGCTGTACAACGTGGCAGTGATGCACTTGTCTGCAAATTGTATCAAGGTCCTCCCTGACTATGCCTTCAAGGGGGTCACCAAGCTGCACAGCCTCCATCTGGAGCACAGCTGCCTTGGCAGGATCCGGGCAAACACCTTCTCCAGCCTCTCCAGCCTGCGGCGCCTCTTCTTGCAGCACAATGCCATCTCTGTCATCGAGGACCAAAGCTTTAGTGAACTGCATGAGCTCCTGGAGCTCGACCTGAAACATAACAGGCTGAGCCACCTCTCACCCCAGCTCTTTGTGGGTCTCAGCAACCTGGAGTACCTCTTCCTCTCCTCCAACCAGCTCCTGGACATCTCCCAGGACACCTTCAGCCCTCTCCAGAGACTCTTCTGGCTCGACCTCTCCCATAACCAGCTGGAGACACTGGACAACACCATCATCTCTCCCCTGGCCAACCTGCGGTACCTCAGCCTGAGGAATAACTCACTGGAGACCTTCTCAGTGGGTTTCCTGTGCCCTTCCTTTGCCCTGGAGCAGCTGTGGCTGGGGGGCAACAACTGGCACTGCAACTGCTCCCTGAAGGGCTTGCGGGACTTCTCCCTCCAGCACCCCGTGGTGGTCCCACGCTTTGTGCAGTCTGTGGCTGAGGGTGACGATGCCCATGTTCCCGTCTACACCTACAACAACCTCACTTGCCTCCATCCCCCAGCTGTGGCGGGCCTGGACCTCCGCGACATCACTGAGGACAGCTTTGCTCACTGCTGAGGTGCTCTGGCCCCTTCCAGGGGACACGTCACTTCCCAGTTGTGGACCTTCACCTCACCCTGCCCCTGGCCCCCTCGGGGCAGCGGCAGAAGCTCTGGCTCCACGGTCACCGCAGATGAGCCCACTCTGTTGCTGCTGCAGCAAGGAGAGCCGTGCCCTGGGGGCAATGCTGGGTGGGCATCCCCAGGCTTCAAAGCAAAAGATTTCAGCCCTTTAATATTTAAAATAGCTCCTGGGGCAGCGCAGACACTTCCAGCTCCCACAGGGAGAATCCCCGAGCCTCTAGGATGGGGAAAAAGCTGCATCCCCAGCCTGGAGCCCTCTCCACAGCAAGAGGCATCCCTGCCTAGGCCAGAACTCATCAATGGGACAAAGTAAAGCATCTTCCTGCTACAGAGCAGCCAGGAAATCCTAAAAACCCTCAGCAGGGATTAGGGAAGGGGGCAGACAACTTGCTTTAATCATTCCTTGCACTAGCAGGTGTAGGCAGGGTGCAGAAAAGCCACACGCGTCACTTACCTGATAAATCGTAGTGGACAAATAAACCTTTGGAGCTATTGCAACCCATCTTGTAAGTACATTTTTTCCAAAGCATGTGCTGCACCCAGCCAGGTGTTTCTTATCACGAGCCCCTCAGGGCTTGCAGGATGAGGAGTCCAGGCTTCCCAGGGGGTTTGGAGGAGTTGGCAGCAAGTTTTTTTTGGGGGGTTATTGTTTTTCTTTGTTGGGTTTTGTTTGCTTGTTTGTTTTGGGGGTTTTTTTTGTTTGCAAGCCCCAGGGCAGGCGACATACACCCAGGGAAGGGAGTAAGAGGTGATCAGCCACCCCACAGAAGCCAACACAGCCTGGTCAGACTCCAGCGCCGCAGCCCAGCTCTCCAAATCCCAGATAAGTGACCAAAGGTCAGACCAAATTTTCCTGGAAAGTTGCACGTGGCAGGGCAGGGCGGTAAAAACTCGTGAGGTGCGAATCCTCACTGCTGGCACAGGGGGTGCTGGGACAGATGCTCCTCTTTCTCATCTGCAAACAATGGCGGCCAACTACAACCCAGTTTGGTTAGTGGAAATCTGAGATTTGACCCCACCTCTCCCAGAACAGCAAAATGAGGGCAAGTTCCAAGCGGTCAGGGCACACAAGCAGGAGTGGGGGCTCTAAGTCCAGGAGAGAGGGAGGCAAGGACCTTCCTTGGCTTCTCAAGCTTAACTCAAGCCTGCAAGAGGAGGGCAGGTCCCACGGCAGAAGCAGCTCTGGGGCCATGGCAGAAGGGCCAAGGGAACAGCAATGA